TTCTAGTCGAAGTTCTTTTTCCTGGTCAGTCAGAAGCTGAAGCACAAATTTCACAGCAACCTTTCTCATTCCCAAATCTTCCATGAAAATTCATTAAACAGAGCCGCAAGATAGTGCACGTAACTTCCCATCTCTTCAATGGTCCGTCATCAGTCTTTGAGCACAAGTGCATGGATTTTGTCCACATTTTTGTCCATTTGGGAAGTCAATGGATGTCCAGAATGGGGTTTTCATCAATTGACATTTCACCTTTTTTGAAAGAAGAAAACCACTCAGACACTTGAGTTTTTCCCATAGCGCTGTCCTTGTAAACTATGTTCAACATCACAACAGTTCCTGTGGCACTTTTCCAAAGCAAGAAACAAAATTTTATGGCTGCACGCTGTTCTCTTAAATGAGTCATTTAAAGAAAGAGAGAGGTTGGAATGAAACTGCTTTCACGAAAAATTCACTGTGACCAGAGAGAACCTTTCCAGGCAGCACTACTGGCTACACTAAGTCAGAGTGAGTTACCCCATGCTCGTCAAGCAGGAAAAATGTGTACTATGAAACTCTGCATAGCAGAGCTATGTCCCAGTTTTGTTTGTTTGGTTGGTTTGGTTTTTAATTTAAATCATTTTATTGGGGGCTCGTACAGATATACAACAATCCACAAATCAATTATATCAAGCAAACTTGTACATATGCTGCCATCATCATTTTCAAAACATTAGTCTCCAATTTGGGGGGCACCCCTCATATAGACATTTATACATAATATTTTGAACTACAGATGTGTAGAAACATTTTGTTCATTCAATCCTAATATGCACGCCTAAATAGTTAAGAAGGAATCAGCATTCTACTCATAATGCATAGTAGTGTATGAGAGTGGAGTAAAGGGATTTCTTCTGCTAAACAAATTGTCTTTGCAAAGGAGGAATTGTAATCATCCAACAAAAGTAGAAAGGGGGTTGTACATACTGAGGGTGGCAGGAGAGGTTCAGATTTTGAATTAGTTCTTGTGGAAATTGGTTGACCAAGCTGACAGTGAATACTGAGTTGAAATTCAGTTGTTGGCTGTGAACACACGCATGCATAAACACACACACACACACACACACAAACATGCACACACAAAATTCAGAACATTGTTCAAAATTTCAGTTATCTGGACCAAAAGATAGGTTTGGAAAATCCTCTATCACCATTTTCCCTATTATACAATGGTGCCACCTCAGACTATCAGTATAATCTATTCACTTGTGTGGACTCCTTTATTCCATTATAAATTATCTCTGGTATAATTATGTGTTTAAATGTGGAACAATGTTCTAGAAGCAATGGGGATTGAAAGATAAATCACGCGTCATGCCCCAAAGGAACTTATCATGTCCTGTTAGCGATAGACTGTGTTTAAAGATAACTGATAAAGGTGATTTTTAAAGTCCTAAGTAGTAAAGATAAAGTGCTGTGTGACTTTGGAAGGGGGAGAGATTATTTCCAGCTGGTTAAGAAGATGTAAATTTGAACTGAATCTTAAGATATACAGGTAAGGGGGATGAACAACAGAAATGTGGGTGAAGGGAGATAGCAGACAGTGTAAACTATGAAAATAAAAATAATTTATAAATTATCTAGGGGTCATGCGGGTGGGAGGGTGGCAGAGGGAGGAGGGGAAAGAGGAGCTGATAACAAAGGTTCAAGTAGAAAGAAAATGTTTGGGAAATAATGATGGCAACATATATACAAATGTGCTTGATATAATTGATGTATGGATTGTTTTAAGAGCGGTAAGAGCCCCCAATAAAAATGATTTATTAAAAAAATACAAGTAGAGCTTGGATCTGTAGAGATAAGGTAAATTATGTAACTTACATAAACTTAGCTTAGCTGCATTTTTGGTTTGGTCAAAAAGAGACGGATGCCCTGGTAGTGCTATCAGTAAGTGCGGGGCTGTGAACCACAACGGCCAGCAGTTTCACTCCATCAGCTGCTCCTGGGACGAAAGGAGAGGCGAGCAGCCCTTCTCGGCTTTACAGCTTCAGAGTCGCTATGGAGACCCGCTCTACGTGGTAACGGGCTCCACGCAGGGGGCTTGGGTTTTTCCGTCATCAAACGTCAATTCCTCAGACTGGCAATAATTAAAGT